AACTTCTGATCCTCTGGAAGAGCTAACAGAACTCAACGCCAAAGGAACACAAGATTCTGATTCAAAAGCCCGAACAACGACAAGGGTAAAAGAGACACTGGTGAAGTAGGACATTTTTATTTAAAAAATGAGATTAATCTCTGTTAAAAAAAAAAAATCCTACTTGAAGTCCACGCACCATGAAGTTGTCAAGATTGGGAAATATATTGTAGGTCTAATTCATCCTATTAAGTCAAACACCTCTTATGCAGAATTTAGAGAGCTGCCTTCTGCCAGATCCATTTTTATTTTGTTTTTTTTTTTGGCCTTTTAAGCCCAAAATAGATTCTCCAGGATTCATTTCCTCATAGCCCGTATTTGAACCTCAAGTACTGAAAGACTGCTATCCTATCACGCCTAGTCCTTCTCTTCATTAGATTACATTACAGATGATGAGGCTGCAGAAGTTGGGGATGTCTAGCTTAATGAAGAGAAGGACCAGGGGTGACATGATAGCAGTCTCCCGATATTTGAGGGGCTGCCACAAAAAAAGGGGGATCAAACTATTCTCCAAAGCCCCTGAAGGCAGGACAAGAAGCAACAGATGGAAACTAATCAAGGAGAGAAGCAACCTAGAACTAAGGAGAAATCTCCTAATGGTGAGAGCAATAAACTGATGGAATAGCTTGCCTCCAGAAGTTGTGGGTGCTCCATCACTGGAGGTTTTAAAGAAGAGATTGCACAACCATTTGTCTGGAATGGGGTAGGGTCTCCTGTTTGAGCAGGGCGTTGGACTAGAAGACCTCCAAGGTCCCTTCCAACTCTGTCGTTCTGTTAAGACTTTCCACGTGTAGCAAATGAAGGATCTACAAGACAGCAAGACATTAAGAAGTGCCTGGTGTCACGGGGTCTAATCTGGCAGAATCTCTGATCAATTTAAGATCTTTCCTAGGAAATACAGGAAGTCCTCGGCTCATGACCACAACGGAGCCCACATTTTCTGTCGTTCAGTGAGATATTTATGAAGTGAGCTTTGCCCCATTTTACAACCTTCCTCAACATTAAGTGAATCACTGCAACCCGGTCGTTAGCTGAATCTGGTTTCCCCGTGGACTTTGCTTGTTAGAAGGTTGCAAACAGGGGATCACGTGATCCCCGGGACTCTGCGACCGTCATAAGTATGAACCGGTTGCCAAGCGTCTGAATTTTGATCACAGGACCCCGGGGATGCTGCAAATGTCGTAACTGTGAAAAGCGGTCCTAAGTCGCTTTTTTCAATGCCGTTGTCAGTTTCAACTGTCACTAAACGAACTGTTGTAAGTCGAGGACTTCCTGTACAAAGATGTACAATTCTATTCTAGGGCAGGAAGAGAAGAGAGAAAAAAAGGACAGACCCAACTATAAATATCCTTGGGGAATAAGCTGGTAGTAACAGGAATATGAAGGCAAGAAATGAAAACAAAAAGCAGTGTATTTTCTTCAGAACAACGTCGACACCTTCCGCTTGTTAAAAGTAAAAGGGGTGTTATGTATGTTGTGCTTCGATTGTTGATGAATTCCCACACTTGGGAGAAATTGAAAGGCTACAGGAAAATCTGTCTGTCCTTTCTTCCCAAAGCAAGCATCACACAATCCCCCCCCCCCCCCCACACACACA